GTTTGTGAAAATTAATTTTTATATTTTCAATAAATAAATAATATATATATATATATATATTAATATAAGGTTAATCAAATGAAATATCAATTAATTATTATATGATATATGAATAAATTAATTTTTAGTATATTATTTTAATTACATGCATACAATTTAATAGTCATCTTAAGGAGAATTATTGCATGGAGAACATATGAGAAAATTACGAATTTGTTAGTTATCATTTAAGAAAAATTATTACACAGAGAACTCATGGATGTGTTATCCACTTATTATAAGTGAGATAAGATATCTTTAACAAAATATAACGGATAGTAAGAAAATTTGAAAATGAGCTTGGCAGAATCTAAATGTGTAAAAAATTATTTATTTTAAAATTATAAAATATATTTACTAATTTATAACTTATTTATTTATTAAACATAAAATAAAATATATAATATAACAAATTAACAAAAATGTTTTTTTTATTGCTTATAATTAATAATAATTGTACAATATTTACTATTTTTATAACTGATTTTTTAATTAAATTAAATTTCTTAAATATTTTTATTAATATATATAACTAATAATTAATTATGATTTCAAATTATTGGCTACTGAATAAAACTAATTGCAACAATATTATATAATTTTTCATAATTAATGATACTAAAAAAATGATTACAATTATAATTTTATTAAAAAAAATTGATTGGAATTTAGTTATTAAAAAAGTTCAATGTTTAACTGATTATGTCAAAAAGTAATTGATTAAAAAATATACATTTAAAAAATATGATTTAGGTGAGAAGAAAAACAGAAAATCAATTTTTTTATTAAAAAAAAATATTAAGACAATTCCCAACTGTTTTAGACAAAACTATTAAAATAAGTCAACCTGATGCACCATAAATTTGAGTCGGATTAAACTAAAAAAAATTGCAAATTTTAATAATTCAGAAAATTAAACCAACAACACAACTGACCCAAGTTGAGTTACAATTTAAACCTATTAATTCATAAAACACGTGTAGTGCAACATCAGCAGAAACCCACTAAAAAAAGCTAATGGGCCAATTATTGAGTCCAATAATTGATGAGTGGAGGATTAGGGCTTGTTGGGCTTGCAACATGCTCCATCGTGCACTGCCACACTCATTCTGAAATTTTGGATACACGCACGTATACTTCTATTACTTCTCATTCAGATTATTTTATTAGTCCGTCCACAATGACATATTCCTCCGACAAAGAAATTGAAGAGTACTATACCATGATAGGCATTTAGTGATTAATGCTAATCGAGACTTTATATTGAAACAATTAAGTCACATATTTACTTGTTTTTATATTTCACTAAATACATTCAATCATGTTTTATCCAATTATCAAAATCAAGTATGGACCATCCTAGAATTTTTACATATTAATATTCTTTAATACTTTGTTAGTGAAACCAAAAATAAGGGACATATATATTTACAACATGATGAATTGAAAATGCTTGGACCACTTGAACCACTTGTTTGTTTTCCATCTATAAGCTTCCTTATTTCCTACGTACCTTTAATTAGTTTCTCCATTTAAAATACAATTAACCATTTATTATATGAGTTAACCACTTATACAGTGTCTGTATAAAATTTTTTATACTGACAATCAATCAGAATCGTTAATAGTATCTTTTTTATTTTAATTTAATTAAATGAGCAGATGAAAATGCACTATTAACAGTTATTAACAATTCTGATTGGCTGTCAATGTAAAAAGAAATTTACACTGACAATATATAGATGATTAACTCTTATTATATTATGAATAATGTTGGTCAACTTTTCGTATAATATAATTTACAAGTATCATCGGTGCCTGTCTTTGATGGCAACGTCTTGAATAAATTGAACAGCTATCAAATTTGGACTGTTTCCAAATCAATTCACACTAAACTTGTCTTTCTTATTTTTGGATATAATATAAAGTTAGTGAGCCGAATGATATGTTGAATTGTCTCGTCCTTCTCTATATGTTACTGAATTAATGTAGAATCGTGCTTCAATTCTCTCATACCATAATAAATCATGGACGCAATAACACCAACTCTCATTACTAAGAGCTAGTGACCTATACATATTGAAGATGGGAATGGGTCATGTGACCTAACTTAATTATTAAGGCAGGTCATAGACTTTAAAATAAGTACATGAAGGAAATAGTACATGTACACTGACATTGTAAAAATAAATATACGATAAATTAATTAAAATTTAGCATGTGTAAAAAATATAATTAAGTCAGCCATGAGAGGAAACATAGTCTCTCCATGTACAAAGCAAACTTTGGTAAAACATATATATCCCATTGAATATATGGTAGCAGTTATAGGAGAGTTTGAAGAATAACTCATCTTATAGATAATGGAATATCCTTTGTTGATGAGTGCATTAATGAATGTTGCAGAACATGACTTAGAATGAAATGGAAGTGGTCCTAATTCATATTTTAGGACAAGGACGTTTGGTGTGATTAACAACTGTTATCGTTTCAGAAACTGGAGAACACAGTCTGCAAAATCAGTATGGCATTGTCGGAGTCTGTTTGTAGGGCCAGAGGCATTTTAATTAACTTGAGATTTTTAAATGATCAAAATTAGTAAAGAAGTCACGTTTAAGTGATAAACACAACTCTTACAGAAAAAATTAGCTTTCATACATATTCATTATAGAGCATAGATAAAGGTACATTTCAATATATATATATATATATATATATCGGACGGATCACATTACATTAAGAATAATTTTACTAATTAGTAAAACTATTTTATTTAATAATTTATAATGTATTTGAATTTTAATAATTTAATTATTAAACTAAAAATTCTTATTATACATCAATTCTATAATAAACTATCATATAATTTTTCAAGTTTTTTAAAAGTTTATAGACTTTATTTATACATTAAAAATTATTAATTTAATATTATAAATTATTAAATAAAATAAACTTACAAGAGTTATTCTTAAATTAATTTGATCTCTCCTCGTATATACTTACAAAATATATGTGTGGATAGAATTGAAAGAAGAGAAAATAAATTTAAGATGTAATAAAATTACAAGATAGCTAGTAATTTGTTAGAATTAATTAATTAATGATTCAAACTTAACAACAAAAAAATAGTGTTCAAAATTGGAAATAGGATTGTATTATATACATCAAGTTTATGAGTTACATCGAGAAAAGAAAAGTAACAAATTATTTAATAATTTCTAACAATTATGAGAAAAAAAATTGGCATGTAATGAAACGTATCCTATAATGACATTACTTATATTAAAAATAATTTTTATCTATACTATAAATATAATATATGTTAGTAAATTTTAAAATATATAAATATATATTATAATAATACATAATATATATTTTTTTTTTAAATTTTATTTTAAATAAATATTAAAATTATATATAATTATACATTAAATTAATTTACATTTTCATATAATATTTTTATATATTACTAAGCATAAAATTTATTGTGGCCAAAAAATTATATCTCTAATGGAGAGAGAGAGGGAAAGACAAAAAAAATACAGTAGTGACACTGCACATTATTCTTTGGTGATCCTATATATAGAGTATTATTTGTTGACACGGAAATAACATAGCATTTGCATTTGGTAAGTGAGTATGTGAAGAAGAAAAAGATAGAGTTATTAAGAGTTAAACCTTTCTCCTCTCTTGGTTCCATTTTCATGTTTTGTTTTAATATGGAAACGTGGTTAGGGTTCCTTTGACTAGTGATATTAATTATGATTTATTAAAGCTACGTACCAAAATAATCCCATAGGGGGAACAACTGAAAAATCGTATTTATTCTGATATATAAGCAGGAATATTAATTGCATGTGTTTGATGAATGTATTATGTAGGCGTTAACAAGATGAATCGTGTGCTTCTCTCAAGTTGGTTCCATGATTGCAAATCAGTGCCCTTATCACACGTGCAACCACCAGAAAGTAGACCTCACACGGTTGTTGCTTCCGGCAACTCAATCCCGGTGGTGGATCTTGGAGCACTTGATCATGCTCAAACCTTGACACACCTTCTCAAAGCCTCCCACGACTTTGGATTTTTCCATGTTCTTCTTCTAACTTTTCCTTTAATTACTTCTTTCTCATTATCCTAATTTTTAATTACCAATAAAAAAAATGTTACAAGTTTACGGATAACAATAATGCATTTTAAGATTTGAAGACGTGACATATTTAAGGGCAAATTAAGATGATGCATATATATATATATATATATGAAAAATTGAAAATTGTGATGTAGGTTATCAACCATGGAGTTTCGAAGGAGTTAATGGATGATATAATGAATATTTTTAAGGAATTTCATGGCATGCCTGCGGAAGAAAAGTTAAGGGAAAGCTCCAGAGACCCAAATGGAAACGTCTGCAAGCTGTATACAAGCCGTGAGAAAAACAACAAAGATTTCGTTCAGTTTTGGAGAGACACATTCAAACAATTGTGTCCACCTTCTGGACAATTCATCGAATATTGGCCTCAAAACCCACCAAACTATCGGTAAAATAATATCTACATTATTCTATTACTTTCACTTTATCTATTTTTACAATAATACCAATTATTAAGCATCATAAACTAATACCTGTCCTAGCCTCTTCCTAAACAAAAAATTTAGTTGGCAAAATTTTCAAAACTTCCGTAAATGAGAAAACCATTCTTTGAATAATAATTATAAATAAAAAAAAAGTGCATTCTGAAGGGTCCTTGTCTTAATTATTATTACCAAAAAGGAGGCACTTCGGACCTGGTTCCTTCTCTTACTTTTTAAAAAATAAAACAAAATAAAAATAGTGAGTGATTAACTGATGAGTATGAGTAGTTTGGGATGAAATTTAAAAAAAAAAAAACTGAAAGAAGAAAAAAATTCCCTCGACCCCCATACAATTAAAATTAATTAAACTCAAAATAAGTGTTATATTAGTTGTACTATTAATTATTATTTTTTCATTTATATCTCTCATAATATTTTTTGAAAAATGATTATTGTGTTACATTTTTTTTTTGTAAAATTAGTATTTTCTATGATTGATTTATTACTTCCTGTATTTTATATTATAAACGAAAAAAATATGTTTTTAATGTATATTAACAAAATTAGTTATTTGTATTAAATTTTACTAATTTCATAATATTTTTATTAATTTGTCTTTATTATAAATATCAAAAGAAGTAATACAATTAAAATGTATGTATTAAAAGAGAGACATTTTAGGGAGAGTATCATTAAATGATGCAAAAGTGGTTAAAATTTGCTTATATTTAAGAATTTTTTTTTTTTTTTTGCTTATACTCTCTATATCTATTCTATATTATAAGTAAAAATAACTAATTTTACATATATTAAAAAAATTGATTATTTGTATTAAATTTTATTACTCTCATAAGATTTTTCTTAAATTATTCTTGTTATAAATGTTAAAAGAAGTAGTAATAATTTGTTAAAAGAAACTAACAATAAAAATAAAAGTGATATAAAATATGCATTTAATAGTGTTATAGATAATAGCTGTGATGAAAAATATAATATTAGCTTAAAGACCATGCATCTGAGAGAAAAATTATTCTTGCGTCAACTAGGAAGGGTATCTTAGTTTAATTAAGTAACACTTTGTGGTGATGATACAATTTTCAGTGAAGTAGTAGCGAAGTACGTAGAAGAAATGAGAAGAGTGGGAAACAAAATATTGGAGCTGTTATGTGAAGGATTAGGGCTTGACCCAAAGTACTGTTGCGGTGAACTGAGCGATAATCCATTATTGATAGCTAATCACTACCCGCCATGTCCAGAACCCAGTTTAACTTTGGGAGCTTCCAAGCACCGGGATCCTACCCTTGTTACCATTCTGCTTCAACAAAATGATATAAGTGCACTTCATGTCCTCAAGGATGGGGAATGGATTGATGTTCACCCTATTCCCTACGCTTTTGTCGTTAACATTGGCCTTATGTTCCAGGTAAAATGCTAAATACATACATATATTTTTACAAAGTAAAAGAATTCTCATATACCTTCTATTTCGTGAGTAAGAGCTCATCTCATACCTTCTGTGAATTTTTTTCTAATAATTTACGACTACCGTTGTAAGATCATTAGCAATGGAAGGGTGATGGGTGCTGAACACCGTGTTGTGACAAATGCTGGCACTGCCAGGACTACAGTTGCATATTTCGTCTGTCCAACAAATGAAAAAATTGTAGAACCTGCAAAGCCTTTGACAATGTCGGGTGCACCACCAATGTACAAGTCCATTAGATATGAAGAGTTTATGAAAATTTTCCTCACAAAGGGTGCTGACATTGAACCACTGTTGCTCTTATAAATTTGGTATGAACTGAAGGTGCACTTTATAGACTCAATTTTCTTGCAAATTATATCTTGTTCAATTGCATGCACATGAAAACTACTCATATATATTTATATGTTTTCCTGCAGGTTTTATCCTTTAATTTGGAAACACCAAAGGCCACTTCTTACAACAGACGTGGATTTAATGGAAATAAAGTTGAAAGGTTTTGGTCATTTGGACTTTATGCTTGCATAAGGAATATATAGTATTTTCAATAAGGAGGTCCCAGGATCTTGATTATGGTATTGTCAAATCAGATAAAGGGTTTTACTTTCTCAGCTTATATGTAATGAGTGGTTAATAAATCCCCTTGAATCAGATAAAGGGTTTTACGTTCTTCTAGTTTACAGAGTTCAACTCTATCATGTATGAAGCTTGATATACATATATAATAGGTTTGTCACCTAATGAATTATTGTTATCCAGTAATTTGAAGAAAGAAATGCTTGTAATTTAATATTTTATGAACTTAAATATATTTTTAGTTATACAAAATAAGTAAGTTTTAATTTTGGTTTCTAAAAATAATTATTTATTTTTCATCCTTCTAAAATTTAGAATTATTGTTTTTGGTCATATTATTATTATATAATAATTTTTAACTACTTATTTGTTTATTGAAAGGTTAAGTAATTATCTCAAATGTTACTCACAATTATTAATGATGTCATATTAGTGTATAATATTTTTTTAAAAATTATAAATTCTTAAAGTAAGTGTTATTTATCTATCTTAAAATTATTGTTAAGGATAAAAATATGATTTTAGACTGTAGAGAAAAAAATAAAAAAATAAATATAAATTTTATAGAAGTTAAAAGCAAAATTTATTATTTTACAAAAGTTAAAAATATTTTACTAGATCAAAAATAATATTTATAAATCTTAAAATAATAGAAAAAATTTTATTAAAAAAATCAAAGTTAAAATTTATTCATTTTACTTAAAATAATCTTATTTACAAATACTAAGAGCGTGTGGTGTTACTATCATTCATATCTCAAACTCCTTTGCCTTGTACACTGCATGTGCTTCTTAATTTGGCATGCCATGGATGGCCCACGCCATTCAACATCACAAGATATTCTTTCTCATGTGATTTTGAAACTTAAACAACCTTACCCCCTAATTTATTAAAATATATTATAAATCATTTTTATTTTATTTGTCTTAAATTTTTTTAAATTTTACGATCAAATATAATTCAAAAATAAAAAACAAACTAAAATTAATAATGAATTAAATGATTCGAAATAGTTCATTAACAAATAAAATAAATTTATCAACATTCAAATAAATCTAGAATACAACCATGAATAAGTTCATTAATAACCTGTAAAAAAAAATTGTATTTACAGCAGTTAAAATTATATTTCCTGACAAATAAAAACTGCTAGAAATGATATTTCAAATTGTTGAACATCAAATTTTTCATATATTATGGATGATACTTTCAAGATACCATGTCTAATCATGTATGCTTTGATAATTTATTTTGTATGGATTTTCAAGACAAATTTGCTAAGCAAATGTGGATCCACATGTAGTCTCTGCAAAGTGATTTTCCCTCGTAAAAACTAGAGTGCTTTCTCTCAACTCTGATATGTTAATTTTCATTCCTAAGTGTCATCTCTAATGACTATTTGGGCGTTTATGTTATAATGGTTATATAATTAGAGATGACACTTAGAAAATTATTTGATGTTTATTTTTATAAAAAAAATACATTTTAAAAATATTAAAAGAAATATTATTTTATTAATAATAAGAAGTATGCTCCTCTCATGATAGCTCTGAACCATATCTTTTCGAACTAAATATCAATTATGCCCAACATGACCTCCATTTTGAAGTTATCGCTGTAAATAGAGGTTTATGTCTGAGTATTGGGAATACTTCTTTTGGTTCAATAGGGAAGTTTTGACCATTTAATTGTTATTAAGTTTTGCGCAACTCTTCCATAAGGCATGACTACATATTCTTAATTGTGGAGCTGAGACAGTTTCATATTCGAATCTTGTTTATCTCATTGTAATCCCTATAAATAAAGGGAAAAAGAATACTCTTCAGTTTTGTTTTACACTTAAAATGGTTATTTAAAGTTGCAACTTTTGAAATCTAAATTGAGAAACAATCATGATAAAAATAAATTATATGATCAACAAAGCAACTAAAAGTACAAAAAATAATTAAAAAAACTATTTTCTAATAAAAAAATGTTTATGAAATAAAATTAATTATTTTTTATTCCTATTTCCATTTGATATTTTTTAATTTAGTAAATCAAAATATAGCTAAGAAAATAATAAAGAGAATATAGATCAAAAAATTAGAAAATAAATAATTAAATACAGAATTAGACAAATAAATTTCAAATTAGTTAACTCGCTGGATTATGTTAAAAGATGAAGAATAATAAATCAACCAAAACTATGTTAACTCTAATAAAATGTCAAATTAGTTCACCGATGAAGAACACTACAAATGAAAATATTTCTCTTCCTTCATTTTCTAAGATACTCTTTGTAAGTATCAATATGCATTAATGTATTAAATTAATTCACAAAATTGATAGGAAAAATATGCCTTGCACGAATGTATATATATATTGAAGAAATTAAGATACACAATATCAGTCTCCCTTAACATACATAATTTAAGACATGATACGGAAGCTCACAATGAAATAATTGAAAGAAGAATTGGCAACAGCAAGCATAATAGGATGATGGAATCTGACCTCAACTCCATCTACTGCTTCATTATAGGAGGCTGATGTATTTCGACCTGGGCTCCAAGATGTCATTAGTTCATAGACTCTATCATCATATACTTCTATTCTAGCAGAGCTCCTATTACTTTTGGAATAGAGCAGTTCCTTTTCTTTCCAAGAGTATGTAAATGAATTATGAACTTCAGCAACGTGAATAACTCGCGATTTGAAAATTTTGCAAGAGCAATAAGCTTCAATGTCTACTGTAATTTTAAGCAACTTGTGACGATTTGTGTAGATCTCTCTACAAAGGTTTCACTTTACAAACCTCAATCATAAATCCACAATCCATAAGAAGCAATAACCATGCTCTCTGCTGCTCTGAGAGTCGGTCCCTAGGGCCTTTCACTTCAACAAGCTTGGCTTCACCACTGTAATCTCCATGGAAACGCCATAGCAGCAAATCTGGCATTCCACTAGACCAGCTCCGATAGTCTTGTGCCAGAAGTTGGCAAAAAGATGCCAAACAAGTACCCCCAACACAAGTAACAACAGCGCGAAGCTCATCTAAGGAATGGCAGTCCCAATTAACTCCTCTGCATGCTGTTCCTACATGTGTTTCCCATGACTTAATAATAAACTCCTCAGCCATGCCATCACGAATTTGTTGCAGATGGGATTCTATGCAACTCTTTCTTGCAGTATAAAAGCCATCGGTGCCAAAATCTAAAGGAGCATTCTGTAAATTCAAAGACACCTAATAAGTAAAATCCAATGAATGAATATAACTGTTTTTAATCAAACACAAAGAACGAGTCTCCTAACATCAAAGATTTATTTTTTGAAGCCTATTAAGTAAAAGGCAAAAGTAAAGATAATCAACATAAAGGGCGGCTGACATAAAAGGATGACATCAGGTGAAGGAAAGTGAATAAATGTAAAAAGGGGTAATTCTATTTGTAGCATAACAATAGTGTCTTAGACAAATGTCGTCGATTAAACTAGAGCAGAGACAATTTGTTAAAAACAAATCAGGTTCAAGGTGGATATGTATTTGTTTCGTAACAAATATGAAGATTCATGGAAAGATTAAAATCCCTATCCCTTAACATCTAAGAAAGTAAGAGTCAGTTAGCATGAACATCACAACAAGTACTTAAAAAGAAGAAAATAAAGTACAAAACAAATCAAGAATCAAAGTTATGTACCTCATCCTTTTAAGAAGTTCCCTCATCTAACACCTCTATAAGTTGAGGAGCATAAGTTAGATTTTAACTTATGAGAAAAGGCTACCTCATTTTATTTACCTCCTTCATCTATTTTATTTCCTTACCTTATAAGTACATGTTAAGAAATTTATCCAAATTGACTCAAAAAACTTTTTTTTAGATGATTGATTTATTTAAAAACAAACATTCAGATTTCATATTTTGGAAACAAGTATTAATTAAAAGACACCTTTTCCTTAAAAATACAAACAAGCGTGCCCCTAATCATCCAGCTTAATGAAGGCTACTGGTTCTTGAAAATGGTATTTTATTTTACTTGGAATCTTATCGATAGTGGCACTTAAATTAGTTTGATGAGAGAGTGCAAAGTGGCAAGGAATGTGATCAATTTCAGTATCTGGTTCATGGTCATTTTTAGTAAGTTTATCTTTATGCATAATAGTAAAAAACATGAAAATTATCTCTGTTGATAGTTTGGTCGTTGTAGTTTCTTCACAACTGAAAATCTTTTATTTCATAACGTTCCATGACACATAATGCAGCACAGTTGAAAGTTGAAACACAAGAAAAGATGGGAAGCTAATTACTCATTCAATAAAAGGTACCTGAAATCTAGTATAGAAGACATTTGGCACATCGGCATATATGACATCCCACATAAGAAGCCCAAAAATGGTCAACCATATGCCACTCTCTGCATGAATGCCTTGCCATCCACCTCCGGCCCCAGCATAGTAATGCAAAGCAAGCTCTTCCACTCCACATTGCTTCCCCTCTTCATCGTAGTACCTGTTCTTTGCTCCCAATTCAGAATTCAATGGTCTCCCTTGAATAAAAACCTGAATAATTACATAAGCTACAATGAGAAGGCCATAATAATGTTTATGGAAACCAGTAATGTCAATATGACAAGAATAGGACACAAGCAAATCAGAAGTGAGAATCATAAAACAATCATGCAATTTACCTCAGGGATTTTCTGCAGAGCAGATCTAGAAAAACTAGGAACTTTCCATCGCCTTGGTGGTTTGCCCAAGCGAAGAACTCGCCTTTGCAGTGCCATTCTTGAACCAGCACGTATCCATGTATCCAGCAACCCATTTTCAGCTATTTGAAGGCTCTCATCAATGCAGCCCAAGTGTTCCAAGTCAATCGACAACCTCAGTGCCCAATATCCTCTTCGAACATCACAAGTGAAAATATTTAGCAGCAACTTGAGTAAGTTAATTGCATTAGTGTACCTGAGAAACAGACATCAATTCTTCAACATCTGTGGTGCACAAGATAAATAAATTGAAATGATAATACCATGCTTATGTAAGCAGATATATATGTTTCATCTATTCCTAGTTCCTACAGAAATGGAAACCATGCACTATGAGCAAGTCATACAGTTGGATCAGTATGAATGAAGAAATTCACTATTCATTCTAGAAGCTGGACAACTGGCAATAGCATGTCTCACATCCATTTAAAGCATGAGAGACATGCTAGCTTAACATCAAACATAGAATCATATTGGATAAAAACCTTAGAGCAAGAGCTGTATGGAAGCACAACATAATGATTGGAGACCATTCGGTTAAGAGCAGGATCTAGAGCTCATCTTTAATATGTGAAGCTAATTCATTCAGTAAACAGGGATAAAAATTCACAAACAATGCCAAGAGATGAAAGGTGCAAGGGCAAAAGTTGTGTAACACTGGAATCAACAAATCAATGAAAATAGATGGACAAGACTCGAGAGGCAAGCAAAGTAATGACATTATTTGTTTTGGCCTGGATAGCAGCAGAAGAGGATGGTGCGCACAAAGAAGCCTGAAACTGGGTATGCATAGTACTTGTTAGCTGTCACAGCAATCATATGATCAACAGACTTGACCAGGCATTGCTGTGCAGGTGGTTTGTGCAGATGAAGCAGGTAACTTCGAACAATTTTGCTTGATTATTTGGTGTGACCAGTTTCAACACTGCCATCATCAGAACCTCTCCTGCCTCATGAGGCAGGAGCAGCACTCAAATTGGTACTAAGATATTGGTGCCAGTGAGTGCAGGAAAAAAGACCTTTTAAGAAACATTCAACCACCATTCACCAAATCATCAGTAACAAGAAACTGAGCTCCCGTATGACTCATATGGATGCAAGGAAATAGATAAATCTGAAACCCACTAGATACCACATGATCAAATTGTTTCTATTAAAATACTGCCTTTTGATGCTACCGAGTGTTGACTCTATTTCACACATTCATGTAGCTATTTTGACACTTAACACATAGCAATCTTAGTCCCACAAAATGGAGTGTCTTCCACAGCAGGAGTGATTGTGGGTCTCATTGTCAAAGATTTCCATTCTAGGGTTCACAGCATTAGCACAAGTAGCAGCCTCTACTAGCAGTAAAATGAGTTTCATCTTCTACCGTTGAGCTTGCAGTAATTCCAGTTTTTGAAAAGTAGCACATCACAGCTCTACTACAGTGCTCATAGGATGCAGCACATGATTCCAGTTTTGGTCCCTAACTCTAACAACAAAATATGGTTAGGACACGTACATTTGGGTTTGTATTGGTTTTGTTCTTAGTGCTTCTGTAATTGAAGCAACATCTTCCTCCTCTGTCTATGCATTTTACTACAGCTGTAGTAAGAGAATCTCACCAGCTTTTATGTTTGCCTTATTCATTTTATAACAACTATGGTAAGAGGAACTAGCCTAATTATTTTCATATTACAGAAACTCTGTTTATTGAGCAAAATGGACAGAATAGATGGGGAAGAAGGCTCTTGTGTTGGTTGTAATTCAAGAATAAACAAGACTATGTATATATATATATATGTAGCAACCTCGGTCGCGACGGGACGGCGAAAAATAAATTGGAAAAGAGGAGTCGCCACCTATGTTTTTTATGGAAAAACATTGGAAAAACCATAAAATAGAAAATAGTCTACGAAAACCAGATTTTTAAGTTCGGGAGTCGATTACGTATGAGGAAGGTATTAGCACCTCACAACGTTCGTCCTAAGACGATTACCTTTAATTAATTAAACTAATTATTTATAATTTATAAAATATTTATCTCACAAAAATTATCAAATATATTTTATTTAACTAATTTAAATTATGCATTGAAAAAAAGGTTAAAATTATTATTGTTATATAAAAAGGAGGATAATATTTTTTTTT